AGTTCACTTGCTAGCCTCTGTTGTAGCATCGAGCGATCTCAGGCTACGCTTGGATGAGGCTGAGGTCACCTTGAACTGAGGCTATGCGCAGTAGGCGTGGCAGCACGAGCTTGCTCGCGTGCGATCTCCCAAAGTAAAAAAGTGTCATTTTATGTTCCGTCAAATTATTCATTATTGAATACGTTGACATTTGGATAAAAATCCTCGACAATTTGAAGATATTATAATGTGACAGTCGTGTGGTTAATGTGTTCAATAAATAAAGCGCTATTTTCACTAAAACCCAGCGCCACCTAGGATTGGCGAACTGCCGACGTGCAGTCGTCAATTCGTCGTACTTCTCGGTTCGCAACTCCAGAAAAGTCATCTCGTTCGCAACGGAGAGGGTCGAGAAATTAATATCTCCTCGTGTTTTAACGGTGTTTTTTCAGGTGGGTATATAAAATGCGATCATTTTACGGCAGCATTTTGCTTTCTGCTATTTTCTGAGTATCATTAGTCCGTCTGGGCCGAGAACAAAAGACAAATTTAACTAAAAAAGAGCAAAAAATAAGTTTCAGTGAGTTTCAGCCTTCAACAAACCAACTTCAAGTGCCATGTCCAAATTCAAAACCCCGCTCTACAGAATGACCTCGCAGCAAAAAGAGACCGTATATGACCCCGCCGAAGATACGTTCTTATTGTTGGATGGATTGGAGATGGATATCGACCGCATTAAGCATTCGGCATTCATCATTGAAGTTGGATGTGGCTCGGGTGTGGTGTCCGCATTCCTTTCCACTCTTATTACTCATTCTAATAATATTAATAACAATAATAATAATAATATAAATAATAATGATAAATCAAATGGTCACTTTATTATCTGCACTGATATTAACCAAAATGCCTTAAAGGTTAGTCGAATTTTTGAAATTTTTTAAAAATTATATTTCTTCATATTTCACTATAGTTAAATAATAATATTAATTAATAAATTTAATAATAAATTAAGTTTAAAAAATCGATATAAATAATGAATAAAAAATAAAAAATTTAATAATAAATAATTGAGTGTACCGAAACGACCCAACAACTGAATAATACCACAAAGAATATCGACCTGGTTCAGTGCGATCTGATCACGGCCATATCAGATCGCTTCAACGGTCTCTTCGATCTAATCCTCTTCAATCCTCCTTATGTCCCCACTGAACCCGAAGAGATCACTACGGCCAGTGACATTGTGAGTTTATTATTTATTACTTTACATATTATTAATATACATATTATTATTTACTAATATAATATATTACTATTATATACATTACTTATTATTATTACTTTGTAATTACTGTTAAATACACATAAATATTATCACATCGTTAGATAATTTTCATTTTCAAAAATATTCTGCGGAAATCGATTAAAAAAC